CACTCACCTCAGCCTCCCAAAGACGTGGGATTACAGGCTGAGCCACCGAGCCCGGCTTTAATTTTTTGATTTATTGTAGAGATGAGGTCTCACCTGCCCAGGCGGGTCTCGAACCCGCGTGCTCAGGCAATCCACTCACCTCAGCCTCCCAAAGGCGCAGGATTACAGGCTGAGCCACCGATCCCGGCTTCATTTATTTATTAATTAGAAAATTGTATCGATATCATGCTTGGACTGTGCCAGGCACTTGTAGATACATCTAAGCAGAACTGATGAGATCCTTGCCCTCATGCAGTTGATACTGCAGGGAGACAGACAGGAGGCCATAAAGACCCAGCAAGATGTTGGATGTTAGGGACCATAAGATTCCAAACCATATATATGATAAAAAGTGACTGCGACATTGGGCTGGCAACACTTGTTAGGGTGTTACAAAATGCCTGTCTAGGAGGTCTTCTCAATACATGCCTCTCACAAACCGTTGTTCTCTGTCTTCCCAATGAATGGTGCCACTACCCTTTCCATCATGCAGGATTCTCAAACCTCTTTTTGCAAGGAGGTTATCAAAGTCATACTATACTGAGAACACCTTTTGCGGACTATCTGCTCATGACTGTGCCTTGGCTCTTGGTTGGGAGGTAAACAGTGGACAGCTACCTCATCAGTGGTAGCTCATCCCCTGTTCTCTCATTCTGCCCCTCTCTCTGGAAGCTGCTTCTGCAGACAATAATGACTCCATGTCATTACATTTTGCCTTTCAATTTCAAGAAGGGAACAAGGCCCCAGAATGCAGTTCTGCTCTTAGGTTCAAGATTCCCCCTTCCCACTTGAATAGGTGTTTCTCCAAAGAAGGTAGACAAATGGCCAATAGGCATATGAGAGGTTGCTCAATGTCATTAATCATTAGGGAAATGCAAGTCGACTCTACAATGAGATACCACCTCATGCACATTAGGATGATAACAATAAAAAACCCAGCAAACAACAAGTGTTGCCGAGGATGTGGTGGAATCTATACCCTTGTGCACTGTGTGTGGGAATGTCAAATGGTATAGCCACTGTGGAAAACAATATGGTGCTTCCTCAAAAAATTAAACAGAACTACCATATGACCCAGCAATTCCACTTCTGAGTATATACCCAAAAGAATTGAAAACAAGGTATTGAAAAGCTATTTGTAAACCCATATTCATAGAAACATTATTCACATTTGCTAAAATGTAGCAACCCAAGTGCCTATTGACAGAAGAATAGACAAACAAAATGTAGGATACACATATAATAGAATATGACTCAGCCTTAAAAAGGAAATTCTGGCACAGGCTACAATAGACAGGAACCTTGAGAACATTCAGCTAAGTGAAATAAGCCAGTCACAATAGGACAAATACTATATGATGCCACTTATACTTAGAGTAGTCAAATTCAAAGAGATACACAAAGAAGAATGGTGGTTTCCAGGGGCTAGGGGCAGGGGAGAAAGGTTAGTTATTGTTTAATGGATGCGGAGTTTCGGTTTTACAACATGCAGAGAGAACATTATGAATGTTAATACCGCTGAATTAGACACTTAAAAATGACTAGGATGTTAAATTTTGTTATGTGTATTTTACTACAATACAAATTGGAAAAAAAAGTTTTCCCTTCCCTCATCACAAACTCTACCCCAGGTAGAGGAGGCGTCCTGAACTGACAAGCTGCTGCGTATGTGTCCACCTCACTCCTTCAGGAATGCCTTTTCTTCCCCAGCCTAAGCCAAGGGGTGAGCCGTGAGTCTGTGGTGTTGCTGATGTGGCCAGGGCTGTGGGGACACTCTGTGGGGAGACAGACAGGAAGCCAAAAGGATCCAAGCACTATAAAGGCCTCAAAACATACACGTAGTAAAAAGTGAGTGCTGCACAGGGCTAGCATCACTCCTCAGGAGACCGCCGCTGCCTGATGTGTGGAAGCACATGGCTCTTGGGACAGTGGGCCAGGGAATCTGCCTCTGAGTTCAGTTATCACCATCTGACCTTCTGCTGGGGCGGCTCAGTGCTCTTTAGTCGTCTCATGTACGTCGTAGGAAAAGTAAAGTGAGTCAGGAAGCGCAAGAGTGTGAAGAAAGTGAACTAGTTCTTAGAAGTTAAATGTAAGCAAGAACGGACCCAAAGAAAGAGCATTCAGAAAAACAGGCGAGAAAACTCTGCCTGAAACAGAGAGGGCAGGAACTGATAACAACAACGTTCTTACAACGCTTGTGCCGTGGCAGATGCTAGAGGCTTTAGGCCCGCGGTCTCATCCGCTCTGGTCACCGTGAAGTAGCCTGGCCAGGACACTCATCCCATAGACCATGACCTGAGGCGTGGAAAGTGACCCACCCGTGTCACACGGCGTGTAAGACCCTCTAGCCTGACACCAGAGGAGCTCAGGCCATCACTCAACCTGCCCTGGGTGCTTGGAGAGGGGTGTAAGTGTTGGCAGGGGTGTGGGGGGTCAGCGCAGATCAGCATGTGGGAAGGAGGAAAGGAGGAGAGGGAGCAAGGGTGCAGAAGGTGCCTGCCCCTCTTCCTCTTCCCTCCTTGCCTAACAGTGTATCCTGGGTGCATATGCGGGACTCAGCAAGCAGGAACCTGCGTGGGGATGGCTGGGGAGCCTCAGCTCAGAACTCGAGGACGTCAGGGCAGCCACCATCCCTCCACCATGCCCTCTGGGCTCAGGTGCTCACATCTGTTCACCTGGCTCCCTGTGGAACCTGGACACATGATCACTGTGGCAGTGTCTGTGGCACATGGAAGAGGACAGAGGAAGAAGAGGAAGCTTGGAAAGTGGAGCAACAGAAGAGGAAGAGAGAAGAAGGGAGAGAGAAAAGAGGGCAGAGGGTGTGGCCACGGCTCACCCAATCTCCCCCATGCACACCTCTGTCTCAGCTCAGGCAGAACCATGATCCTGTCTTGGAGATGAAGTTTTGAGCTCACTTCAGTTTGGGCTTCCTCCTTTTCATGTTGGAGTCTTTTGTGCAAGAAACAAAAGTAGAAAATAAAGTTAAAGTGTATAACAAGAAGGTAACTTCAACCCTAACCTTTACTCTTATTTCCAACGCGAGGTCCATGTCCTAGAAAGAGTTCTGACTGTGCCAGGTGGGTGAAGGGGTCAGAGGCTGCTGTCTGTCTGAGCTGAGCTGCTGTTAACGGCCTTAGCACGGTCTTATGGTGAGTGAAACCAGAGAGTTGTGAGTCCATAGCTCATAACTGTCCTGAAACTGCCAAATAGTGAAATCCTGGGCTCCTAAGGCCCATGAGGATATTTGATAATGTGGCAAAAGAAGTAATATGAATTGTACCACCCAGGTTGCATTTAATTGTTATTTATTTTATTTAAACATTTTAAAATTTTTTGTAGAGACAGGGGTCTTGCTATGTTGCCCAGGCTGGTCTTGAACTCCTGGCCTCCAGTGATTCTCCCACCTTAGCCTTCCAAAGTGCTGGAATTACAGGTGTGAGCCACATGTCTGGCCTTAGTTGCCATTTAAAATGTGTTCCTAGCCAGGCTTGGTGGCTCAGCCTGTAATCCCGCACCTTTGGGAGGCTGAGGTGAGTGGATTGCCTGAGCCCGCGGGTTCGAGACCTGCCTGGGCAACTTGGCGAGACCTCATCTCTACAATAAATCAAAAATCAGCTGGGCGCGGTAGCGCGCACCTGTAATTCCAGCTACTCACAAGGCTGAGGGGGAAGGATCGCCGGAGCCCAATGGGTTGAGGCTGCGGTGGCCAGGAGCGGCCACTGCACTCCAGTCTGGGCGACGGAGTGAAACTCCAACTCAAAAAAAAAAAAAAAATGTGTTTCTTATGGTTACTCGAAAACCTTTTGTTGACACCTTCTAGTAAGATTAAGAAAGTTCCAGGACAAAACTTGCAGAATGCATGTCAGAGCTTGGAAAGAAGTCCCAGAGACTAGAGTCCTTTAAGAAATGAACAGGATCCGGGCTCGGTGGCTCAGCCTGTAATCCCGCACCTTTGGGAGGCTGAGGTGAGTGG